TTTTTTCGATTTCAGCTTCAAACTTTATATAAAATGCAAATTAGGCCAATCCTCAATGGTCATTTTGGGAAATTAATTTGCTCTATCGAATGATACCCTCTACTAGCAAAACAGAAAAGTCTTTAATTATTTAGAAGAAAAGTTTTCTTTTTGTGCGACTCAATATTTTAGAATGATAAAGCTCAATAATTTGTTTCATCTTTTTTAGCAAATCAGTATCTTTTGTATGTGTACTTGTTTTGATCTTTCATAATGGATTGAACACAAAATAATTTTTTAACCTATTTCAGCGCTGTTATGCTTCATCTTGATTTAACATACAGCACTTTTGCTAGCACCCATCCAGGTAAGCAACATTCTTATTATTCAGTGCTTGATAATATTAGGTTGTCTCACAAATAAAGTCGTATTATATGTTTGAATAAGAAAAAAGTGAATAAATTAATTTGATGGAGCGCGCTGTTCTGGAATTATTCCCGAACTTCCGGATCAGTGAATGTATCCTAAACTTTCACCATACCAACCTGTGCGGCAGAAGGAATATAACACCAGCCTTTAAAAAGTTTTGGTGCTACACATTTTGGAAGTTAACTAACAAGAATAGAGGAAAGAATAGAATGAAAAGAATAGGCACAAATCATTTGGATATTTCATGTGAAAGTTTTTGCTGTCAATTTATCAAATAAGAAGTAAAGTACTGTAATAAATAGTAGGCATCCAAAAACAAAGAAAGCTCTAAATCTATCAATGCAGAGACCTACACATTTCTTCCCACGAACACAGAAAGAATCAAAGAGAAAACTTGCACTCAATTGGGATCCAACCTTATCTTTATTGTGGGAACGTATGATGCAGTCGAATTCCTGAGATGGTCTGAATACTTAACTAATTTAGTTATTGAAAGTCAATAAGAAAAGAGGAAGGAAATTTGAAAGCATTTTAGGTTTGTTTTGTGCAGTTTGGAAAGAAATTGCATAGCCCCTTCTGGAGCAGAATCCTCATGCAAATTTGGAGCCGATCGCTACAATCAGTATGCTAACTGCCACAGGTAGCTCAACATCAAAGAACAGCCGAGTCTTTTGATTGCTTGTGTTAAGAAAATACACTTTAGTTTTGATCAGTCGGTAGTCAACCTACTTCTTGCAAACGCATATCGATGCAACGCTTCAAACTACAAAAGCTACTCCATGGAAAATGGTGCAAGACTGCTTCGCAGTAATGACTTAATTTCTAACAAAGTAAAGCTTGAATGCTCAAATCGATGGTAAAATGTTTGTTATTTGACGTTTGTGCTCAATTGCTGTGCTAATCATAAAACTTCTATCACGTATGTACTTTGCATCTGTGCTGACAAGGCAACCGGGTTTAGTCGAAGCGGTCTTTTTATATTAAATGCATATTATATCCGAGAGCACAAAATGCTAATCTGCCTTCCATATCTGCGGAACATTCATGGACGACAAATAATGAGCCTTCAATAAAGCAAAAAATTGACTGTAAAAACAGGAGAAAATTGTCTTAATATTAATTTCATAATCTTTTAATCTCATAATTTTTTAATGCTTTAGTGGAGCAGTAATGATTATTAAAGCCATTCAATAAATACTGTTAGTTAAAGAAATTATTACACTTGGTTGCTATAAGCAAGGTCTACAAAGTTAATAGCAATACAATTCATCCCAGATGCACTTTTTCTTTTTCTTTGATAATTGCTTATTGACTTCTCGTCTACAAACGCTCCACAGATAAGGAAAGCAGATACAGCGTTTTATGTCTTCCAGTATGGTGTACATCTCTTTCAAAAGAGCTACTTCCACCAAACGTGGTTCACTTGTATATTTCACATCTACAGTGACTGCCAAAAAGTTGCGGACAAGCCTCCCTCCCAATTTCATCACTCTATTTCAGAAGAAAGACAAGGATAAAAAAATGTAGTAATTGCATGAGGTGATAGAGCTCTTCAAGATCTACAACCTACACTTTGCGTTTTTCGAAAACATGTATTCTAAAAATTTTTAAAAACTTTTTCTTAAAAAAGTCCGAAAATAGCCGCGTCACAATGTCGCGGACAATAATTCTTCGAACGCAAAAATTTTCTTTTGAGTCCTATTCTAAAGTGGAAACACAAGTAATCCAAACGGGTAAGCACACTACTATACAGAGCTCATCAAGAACTACACACTTTATGATTGCTTCCCAGAAAACACAAGCTTGAATTTTATTTTGCTTCCTTTCAAAAAATAACTTCTAATTCCCTGCTTCAAGCCAAATTTCTTCACATGGAAAACCATGCAAGACATTCAAACAAAGTTATTCGGATAAAATGGAAGCCCTTTGCCATCTTCTATGCATCGGACTTGTGTTGGTGAGTTTCTTTGCTGAAAATGGCTTCTGACAGTGCGTGTACACGACCCCACCTGCACCTCACCACTGACTTGTACCGCTTTGCAGGTTTGTAACTCGGCTTGTGGTCAATGTGTGAGCCTGCAATTAGGCTCATTCGAAAGAACGAGACTTCCTCTACACGACGGTATGCAAAAGAGATGGGTATAAGAAACAGCGGAGATTTGGCGGATGGGGCGAAAAAATGCGGCCTCAGTGGTAGTGTGAGGATATCCAGCTAAAGTTGAATAGAGCTTCTTTCGCTACCACAATCCTGGAAGCTTAAAACTTCAATGTTCTTGTAATAGATCCATTTTGAAGCTCTAGAACTGATTTGGTGTTGATAAGAGCCTTCACTACAACCACCACTAAGGCCGCGTTTTTCCACCCCATCCGCCAAATCTCCGCTGTTTCTTATACCCATCTCCTTTGCATACCTTCGTGTAGAGGAAGTCTCGTTCTTTCGAATGAGCCTAATTGCAGGCTCACACACTGACTATAAGCCGAGTTACAAGCCTCCAAAGCGGTACAAGTCAGTGGTGAGGTGCAGGTGGGGTCATGTACACGCACTGTCAGAAGCCATTTTCAGCAAAGAAACTCACCAGCACACGTCCGATGCATAGTAGATGGCAAAGGGCACCCATTTTATCCGAATAGCTTTGTTTGAATGTCTTGCATGGTTTTCCATGTGAAGAAATTTGGCTTGAAGCAGGGAAATAGAAGTTGTTTTTTAAAAAGAAGCAAAATAAAATTCAAGCTTGTGTTTTCTGGGAAGCAACCATAACCAGTGTGTAGTTCTTGACGAGCTCTGTATAGTAGTGTGCTTCCCGTTTAGAATACTTGTGTCTCCACTTCAGAATAGGACTCAAAAGAAAATTTTTGCGTTCGAAGAATTATTGTCCGCGACATTGTGACACGGCCATTTTCGGACTTTTTTAAGAAAAAGTTTTTTGAAATTTTTAGAATACATGTTTTTAGAAAAACGCAAAGTGCAGATTGTAGATCTTGAAGAGCTCTATCGTCTCATGCAATTAGTACATTTTTTTATCCTTGTTTTCCTTCTGAAATAGAGCGATGAAAGGGAGGGAGGCTTGTCCGCAACTTTCTGGCGGTCACTGTATCATGCCTTAATCGTACTAGCAACGTACATAGATGAGAGTACCAAACTAGTGTCAAATAGTTCTCTGCCACTCTATCACTTCAGCTTGCTCAAGCATATAATGAAATGAATCGCAACGTAGTGAAGAATTGCTTAGCTTGGACTTTTTTCTACTTTTTATGCGATGTTGACGCAAGTCTTAAAGCCAGTTTATTTCAGATGTCTTAAAATGCCTATCCCTTAAAGATTTTGAGCAAGGACTCACAGGGCTTATCTGAGCCTTGACAAAGTGATCAGGGTGCATGTTCATGGAAGTGACGCAGAGTTCATCGCGGGAGTGGAGGTGCTGATGCAAGCGACACTGCGTTTGATGAGCCCTGTAATCACGTCTTAGCCTAAATTCGAGCCCTCAAATACATATTAACAAGGTCATCAGACACTGAAGCCACAGAATTGAACATTGCTAATTTTTTAGGCTGTATTTGAAAGTATTCAACAAAAAATTGTCTTCGACTGCGTTTCAGAGTTCATAAGCCGCAAAAAGCTTGCAACGTGGCTACAATATTAGAATGTCTCAAACGCACAAAGCAAAATTTCAGATTTTTTTCGAGCTTCTACCATGATTGCAAATCGTGTCCACTTGCGAGGAAATTCTCTGTAATTGCACCGTCCAGGAGTGAGTTGTCCGTGTACATTGAAGACTGTGGGAAGACAACTTTTTTGCTGCCTATGTCTGGAACGCAGTCCAAGACAAAATTTTGTTAAGTATAATACTTTCAAATACAGCATAAAAAATTGGCAGTGTTCAATTCAATTCTGTGGCTTTAGTGTCTAATAAAGTGTGACATTCTTAACATGTATTTGAGGGCTTGATTTTGCTCAAAGACGTGATTAAGTTTTTGCCCAAAATCTTTATGGGATAGGCATTTTGGGACACTTGTAATAAAGTGGCTTTGAGACTTGCGTCAACATCGCGTAAAACCTAGAAAGAAGAGCCCATGCTAAGCAATTCTTCACGATTCATTTTATTACATGGGTAAGCAAGCTGAAGTAATAGAATGGCAGAGAACTGTTTCGTACTTTTGGCAGGAACTACTAGGTGATGCACAATGCTTGCGCCAGAAAATAGAAAAATGCTTCAAAAATGCTTGAATAAACTGACTAATTTACAGCATATGCTTGCAGTTATGCATATCAAAGATAGTATATAATAGTACAATTCAGAAAATCAATGTGAAATAAAACCAATATGTCAATTTAAAAAAAGGAAGATCGTAGCTATGTGCAGAGACATTCAGTCACTATAAGCTTTTTTCTGTTGAAAAGATTATTTCACAAAACTAAGCCTAAAAATAAATTCACATTTTTGTAGACGTTCTAGCAATTTTTGGCCGCCAAAAATCGAAATATCACTTTTGGGTGTTTCTCTAAATCACTTTATCGTTGCCATATGCTCTCGAGAAATTTTAATTTGACCACCCACAAAAAGCGCGAAATTTTCTTTTCTCTATTTTATTTAGACCGGAAGATTTCTTAGAAGCTGGATGAATTAACAGAATAGGTATGTTTCTGCTAGTAGATGATGTGAAACCTCTTAAGAAAACAATAAAGCCGGAACCTCAGGTTAATAAACACATATCGTTTTGGCATATCGATTTACTATTAACTGACTACTGATAAGGTCTCGGTCATTCCCATCAGATCAAGCAGGGGTTGCTCGCCGAGCTTGTTCACGTAAGAAGTACTTGGAGTATGTAAGTTGTCATTTTTGCTTACATCAGGTTTACTATCAGGCTGGCTATAAAATAAGTTGGTTTTGATATGCAAATTCAAAGCTTTATAACAATTCACGTGGTAGCTCTCAGATCAGATTTTTTGTGAGAAAATAGCTTCACGCCTTTACGCTAAATGTCTAAATAGAAAATTATTTGAAAAAGGGATTCATTAAAAAACTGAAACCTTATTTATAAAGGCAAACCAAATAATGAAAAAATTTTTTCAATTCTACATACTTCAAAAATTAAACATAATTTTTAATTTGTCCTTTAAATAAACAAGCAATAACTTTGGTATCATATGCATAAAATTCTACACTCAAATTATGATGAAAGAACTTGGCGTCACAATAGATAAAAACAAAATCACGCCATTTAGTAAAAATGTAACATATGATTCATATCACAATGAGAGTGCGTCTGAAATAATCGATAGACATAAAAAATGCTGTAATGCAAGTAAACTACCATTACAAACCAACAAGAATGTACCACTGATATTTTGCTTGCCTAAACTGTATAAAAATCCAATCAAATTTAGATTTATTACTGGTGCTACACATAGTAGCATCTGACCGTTAGCAATAGAATTAAAAGTTATTTTCACATTTATAAAATCTCATTTCAAAAATTATCTAAATAGTATTAGAAATTATTATTTCTTAGGGTATTGATCAATAGACAATATCGACATTACTGATAGGATTAAAAATATTACAACTAGGAATATGAGTGCATATTCTGCAGATTTCACGAATATGTTTACAAATCTACCACACGATGTTATAAAAACAAATATCAAAAACCTTGTCTCATTATGCTTCAAGAATGCAAATAAGAAACACATAACATGCAATGGACAACAAAGTCACTATTACAATGATATAACACATGCTAAATCAAATTATAGATAATAGAGATGATTTATTATATAAGGTTGATTTTATCCTTGATGATAGTTTCCGTAGATTTGGCTTATATATATTTGAGCAAAAGGTGTTTCTCAGGAAGGTAATTTCAGTCTTTTGTTGGCAGATCTAATATTATCTAGGTACGAATACAGTCATTCTGCACATAATAATAATTATAATAAACAAATTTTTCCCTTTAGATACATGAATGACTTATTAATTATACATAATTTTGAAGTTAATGAAATAAATGAATTAATCAAACAAGTTTATATCCTAATTTCACGCTACAAGGCGCACCTTTTCCGATTTCTCGACTAAGCCCCTCAGCCGCTTTAAAATATTTCGGAAAGCGATCTTTATGCCGTACACTTCTCCTAAGCAATATACAGCAAGGCATAGGGTCCTTTGGTTGCGAAGTTCTTTGGCGTCTTTGGACTGGTTGATTTTGGAAAAAAATCCCCCGCGCCTTGTACGCGTGAAATTAGGGTAATAACAATCACTCACATAAATGAAAACCATTCAATTACCTTGATTTAGACATCATGCTAGAAACAATAACTTCATAACCAAATTATATAACAAAAGAGATTTTGACTTCGAAGTTAAGCGTTTTATACAGTGACACCTCAAATATTTCTATACAAATCAAAACCCACTATTTATACTGAAACACTTAAATTGCTCGTACATGCACTTTCTTCTTAGATTTCTCGAAAAGATTCTACAGCTGAAAGAGAATCAAATGGATATGACAAAGACCCACTCTCCTCTAGTATTTGCAAGTGTTTACATCGATGATTTCATAGTATATAAATATAATCTATAAGATAACAAGATTGTTAACAAAGTTTTCAAACGTCTCGAATAAAACAAACAATATTAGGTATCTAAAACTATACAATGAGAATGATTTATTTTCAAAACAATCCTTTATAACAAAGAACAATCATAAACACTCTAAACATGGGTCTACTTTATTTTGAATATCAGTGAAGCGTAATGTGGTTGTATACAGTGGCGCTCATATATAATATGTTATTATTACTTATATATCAGAAGTATTAGGTTGTCCCGAAAGTTTTGTCTGTTTTTTCAAACCACTGTAAAACCACGCACAATAAAGATCTGAGTGTGTTTCAACATGCAATCGATGCAGCTTTTCCTTCTCTTTCTTATAGTTACATTTTCATACCACAATCTTGTATGCTTTTTTTAATAATGCCAAGATTCTCCCCCGCCAATTTACCTTCTCAAAGTTAGGCTAATTTTTGAAAATTTCATTCCAAAGTTTCGGAAAGGATTAAATATGGGTCAAATAGAGCAACTTTCGGACTACAAAGTATTCTCCTAATCTGCTGTTTTTAGCTTCAAAAATTTATTTCTCTGGAGGTCTTGAGTTTTGGCAAAGTCATGCAACGCGCAACTGCATCAAATACACGAAAGCTTTTGAGGTTTTTGCGTATTGGAACATGATTCCTACTAAACATTATGTTTGCAACATAACCAACTTTAATTCGCTCTGAAAAGCAGTTGTTTGGAATTTTTGGTACTTTTACGTGTTAAATTATATCTCAAAGCCGCGGTTTTTATCAAATGAATATTTATAACGGACTTGGTAAACGCTGTTCAAGTAATCTAAAATGTAGCCAAAGGTCTGCTCTACGTAATACTTACCAGAGCTGTTTGGAAACATCAGAATGAAAAATTCTAAAATTCAGGAACGATTTAACGTTACTGCGAGAAAAAAGCCATGGCGATAACATTGCAAAGACAGAGTAGATCAGAGAGCAAGTATGACCGTAAGAAAGAGAACAAAAATCTGAATCAAATGGTGCCTAAGCCGTCCATAGATTGGTGTTCTGTAAGTTTTAGTGAGCGATGAAAGAAACCGACAAAACTTTCGGGACAACTATTCATTTAATGGTAGGTAATTCCATTACCATTGTATTAGGTTGATGCATAATTCCTGCACCAAAATAGATACAGACCGCAACAATCCGAATAATCCTATATCCCAAATGGGATTCGATAAATCATTAGATAGAGTAAACCTAGCTCTACAAGATAATGCTTGAAGATTTGCTGCAGCTTTGATCCAAGCGAAGATTAAAGCCAAAAACGAAAAAGATCCAGGCGTTCCAAAAAAAACAAGAAAAAATTGGAAGTTCGTTCAGAAAAATCCCTTAAAATTCCTAACTTGTTCATACATTGTAATTTCGTACAAGACATTTCCCTATGCAGTTATTGTATTTTTCTCTCAGCTAGAAATTGAGAAAACGTTTTTCATGTTGTTTTTTCTAAAACAATGCTGAGATGTTCTAGCACTGACATTTGTATACTACAAGACCTTGGAAGCATGAGTGTGAATTTTCAGCTTTTTATAGCAGCTGGTTTACGAGAAATATCGAATTTTTAGCAACTAGGCAAGAAAAATTCGGATAAGGAGAGCTAAATTCGTCATATCTCGTGAACTAGCAGTGATAGAAGGCTGAAAATGTAAAGTTTCACTGCTAAAGGCATGTTCTATAATTTAGCAGAAACATGAAAAACTTCGTTTTCTCATCGTTTAGCTGAGCAAACATTACAGCAACCGCTTAGATAAATGTCTTACATGGAATGTCTACGCATGAGCAAGAAAGAAATCTTGTAGGAGCTTTTTGAACGAAGTTACAATTTTGTTTTGATTGGTCTCAAGGTTTTCGAACGCATGGTTTCTTTTCAGTTTTTGGCTCAAAACTTCGGGTGGATCAAACCTGGTATAGATATTTGAGCACTATCTTGTAGAGCTAGGTTTGCGCTATCTAATGATATTATCGAATTCTATTTGGGATATAGGATTATTCCGGATTACTGCGGTCTGTACCTATTTTGGTGCAGGAATTATGCATCCTAATAAATTTAGTATTAGGTTGTCCTGAAAGTTTTGTCGGTTTCTTTTATCGCTCACTAAAACTTACAGAACACCAATCCATGGACGGCTTAAGCACTATTTGATTCAAATTTTTATTCTCTTTCTTACGGACATACTTGCTCTCTGATCTACTCTGTCTTTGCAATGTTATCGCCATGGCTTTTTAAGCAGCTCAGCAGTAACGCCAAATCTTTCCTGAATTTTAGAATTTTTCATTCTGATGTTTCCAAACAGCTCTGGTAATTATTACGTAGAGCAGACCTTTGGCTACATTTTAGATTACTTGAACAGCGTTTACCAAGTCCGTTATAATTATTCATTTGATAAAAACCGCGGCTTTGAGATAAAGTTTAAAACGTAAAAGTACCAAAAATTCCAAAAAACTGCTTTTTAGAGCGAATTAAAGTTGGTTCTGTTGCAAACATAATGTTTAGTAGGAATCATGTTCCAATACGCAAGAACTTCAAAAGCTTTCGTGTATTTGATGCAGTTGTGTTTCATGACTTTGCCAAAACTCGAGACCTCCGGAGAAATAAATTTTTAAAGCTAAAAACAGCAGATTAGGAGAACCTAAAAATATTACCTTGTAGTCCGAGAGTTGCTCTATTTGATCCATACTTAATCCTTTTCGAAACTTTGGAATGAAATTTTTAAAAATTAGCCTAACTTTGAGCAGGTAATTGACGGGTGGAGGATCTTGGCATTATCAAAAAAAGTGTACAAGACTGTGGTATGAAAATGAAACTATAAGAAAGAAAAGGAAAAGCTGCATCGATTGCATGTTGAAACACGCTCAGGTCTTCATTGTGCGTGGTTTTACAGTGGTTTGAAAAAACAGACAAAACTTTCGGGACAACCTATTATGATAAGTATATAGAACTATGTATGGAACACATCTACATGCAAAAAATTTTCTTTTTACTTACACAATTTTCCGGAATCTTACTTTTCAAAAATTCATGAAAATAGTTTTTACTCCTAAACAAATTCACTTTGCAGTATTGAAAAAAAAATGGTTTACAGTCCTTCCTTTCTTACTGAGAAGTTCCGGGAAAGGTCTGTAAATACTTTTACTCTGTCAAAGGACAGGAACGAAACGGAGTCTTTTTGTTGTTTATATTAGGTTGGTCCAAAAGTTCTGTGACTTCTTCCAA